CAATATTTATAATGTAAAAACATTGTTGGGATTTACAGTATTTGTTAAATAATAATAATAATATAAAAAAAGAAATTATAAACAACTTATTTGTAAGTGAAATAATTTTTCATAGGTGTATCTGATTTTTACAATGCCTCTTTTCAATTTCATTAACAACAAAATTTTTATTATTTTTATAATTCTTGATCATACTACTATTAAGCATTCATTTTATTTTGTCAATTTTGTCAAGTCAGTATGCTGGTAGCACATTAAAAGCATGACCAAAGCATATCACGCTAAATTGTCTATCGGGCAAATATAGTWATATAGAACTAGATGTTATGGATATTAATATGAAAAAATAMAAATGAATAATAATCAAACAAATAAAAAGACAATACCTTCCTTATTATGAAAACCTAGCTCAATTAAAAATTTACATACTTGCAGGGATGTATTGAAGCCATAGAAGGACCTGGAACATGTGGGTGTGATTCCATGGTAACAGTTTTCTTTGCATAATCTTGACTTACATCTTCATACATTTCTTCAACACTTAATGGTCCTTGATTCTAGAATTCATAAACAATTATTTTTATTATAAAACAAGGAAAACTAGTTGTATAATGAAGACGAAAATATTTTAGAATATTTTWGTGGAAATAYAACTTAATAAYTATCCAATTATTTAAATTTAGACAGTATTGGCACTACATGTTATATTGTGTTAAGACTGACATTTTTTAAATCCTAATATGAACCTTATAATATAAAAATTATACTTAAACATAGACTATGTTAACAAAAATGAAATGGTGTTAATTTAATTTTATAAAAACATAACAATTTCACAGAAAATTTAAAAAGTTTTAAAAACAACTCAGTTTTATTTTGAATAAAATACAATTTTAAAATACTTACTTCATTATAACCATAAAGCCACAGTCTTGGAGTTTGGTAGAATTTGTCATAAGTAATATGTAAATCGTATGTTCTGGTTTTTAATATTTCATCAACCGATGAGTTTGATAACTTTTTATTTTTTGTATGTTTTGGATAAATAGTCACCTATAAAGACAAAGCAGTTGCAAAATTCAACTTCATATTTTCTTTTTTAAATCAATCAAAACAGTTACCTAACCATTTGAAAATTAAATTATAATTCATAATTTACAATTCTAAAATAATTTATTTCAGAATTTAAATTCTTTTTCAACTCAAAGTGTAATTTATAATAGCAAAATGTATAAGCAAACAATAGAAGTTGTTGAAGTAATGAGTGTTGTTCGATAAAAGAATCACATGGTATAATATACTATTATACTAATATTAGTATTTATTATTATATTTTCATTTTATTCTATACATATTTGCACATTTAGATAAAACATTGCAATYAACTATTTGTAATTTMATTTTCATTTTCCCACATTATTTTGGGAATTTTGGAACCTACTCATTGGCTTTATGTACTTAATGCAAATTAAAAGGTATGATTAAAAAGTTTGAAGAAATCTGTAATGGTTTTCTACTTCATCGAATTTAGTTTCACTTTTTCATATTTTCTTACAATAAAATATACTTTGAATTACTGAGCGTTGAATGGAAGATACTTTAAATTGTCACGTGTTAGTGATTAGTTTTTCCAAAATGTAATTTAGAAACACCAAGACGTATACTAAATGCATTATTTTTATTCGAATTATCGCATGATTTTCAAGGGACTGAACATTTACTTAGAATTACCAAAGGTTAGGTTTCGTATGATTTAACTTTTGAACTAATGAGAGTCAACTGTATTTACATACTATAAAAAGAATAGTGAATCAAATAAATTTTCAATAGAAAAACTTAAATTAGAAAATTTCAATATGTATCCATGTTTAACCAAATTTTTTTAACTTATTTGATMTGAAAATAGTTGTTAGTTCTTGTCTTACAACCTAGAAGAAATTCTCATAATTTAAATAAATTTTWWTTTTATTTTATAATGYCATATTTGAATATTTTAAAGGTTTTATTTTTWAGCCATATTTGCATGCATATTTAAGAGTTTATAAGATTAAAAATATCCCAACCCTACAACCAAAAGAAAACTTTAAGAATAGATATTATCATGTATGAAAAAAACTAACCGAATCGTCTTCAAGCAAACCACTTTCTACAAATGCATCCATATCTACAGCATCGCCTTCTTCCTCGTCATTTTCGTCATCATTATCATCCGTACAATCATTAATATTTCTTACATTTAAGTTTTCATTAGTTGCACTGTTTAAAGCATTATTATCCTTGTTAAGACTTGTAACATTTACATTGTTCAGGTTTACCTACAAACATTCAAATATTAAAATTACAAAGTAGAGCATTTATTTAATAAAAAAAWWAAAATATTTTGTATTAAATTAAACAGTTGATTAAACCATATTTATGAACTTCTTGATTAATATTAGAAGAAAAACTTAGCTTTGATTAAAAATATATTTTTGTTATAATAATAACATGTGCAATAATATAAAACTAAAAACATCATGGTCACAGATATTTTKTATTTGGAATTAACTTTTAATWAGCATTTGGRATRGAATTTAAATGTAAATAAATTAATAATGATTAATGCGGCTTTGTATTTAGAGTTTAAATTATTATAAATCACACAAGATTGTACTAAAACTAGTAATTTGAACAGAGGTGTTGCYAATGCRCTAAAACCTTAAAAGTTTATTAATCCAACAACAATAAATAGTGTGAATATATGTAAGGAAATATACTCTTAAAGAATCGACTAGCAAAAACTCTCAATTATTATTTAATAAATTGGACCTATTCAGAAATATTGAAATCTCATGGGTAGTAAAACACTTTAAARAATTATAAATACTATGGCTACTAAAAAGTAAAACTTAGTGTATGATGTTAAGGAAATTCATATAAGCAAATCTTTCGATCATCAATACATGAATTACTTAAATTCTACTTATTTAACACTAAGCATATTAATACCAAAAAGAATACACTAACAAAAGTCCTGATTGTTATTGTTATTAGGAACTTTTATGACTTCATCATGATTTTGTGTTTAAAAAATATTTTTGAGTTACCATCTACTTATTTGAATACTAAATTATTTTAAGTTTTAGTCATACATACTTCTAATGATATTTCAGATATTTTTTCACTCAAAGATGAGAGTACACAATCAAAATGATGTGTCTCAACCCATCCTTCATTTCCATCTTCAGATTCCACAATATTTTCTTGAACTTCGCAGTTCTCAATCTAAAAGAAAATTGTTTTTATAATCTAATTAGGTATTAACTCAGGTATAATAACATAATATTATATTTATTTTGAAGTCAGTCATATCAAATTATTTACTTGTTTACATCGGCGTACACATGGAACATTTCTTGTAATTAAATATTGTTTGTTTTTTGGTAAATAAGATTTAGTCTTGCACTCATCACCACAAGCCCATTCCCATGTTGGACATGTATGAACCAAGTGGTCACCAGCAATAATAAACTCATGTGGAGTCACTACACCAGTTTCTTTAAATTTTGATTCCTATTAAATACACAGATAAACATACAGAATAAATATAAATTTCAACAGTCATTGGCGCGATATACTTTAAACRTTGTAACTATTACAAATTTCYCAGTAAATACTTAACCATAGTGCACTCAGTAGAGATGTTATATTATTATGCTTTTTGTATATCACTCATTCAAGAAAACATGACAAAAATTAAAATTTGGAAGCAAGGCATGATTCCATTAAAATATTTATTTAAGTCCATCGAAACATCTATAATTACACGAAAAAATAGTAAATACCTTCAAGACTGGAGTCAAAAATCCGGCAAACCCTAACGCAGTGCCCTTCACGCTGTTGATAACGTTTTGCATGGTAGTATTTGTGCGGATACAACTTTCAATTTGATGACTAGATGTACATATGTGCTGAGTATGAGATTGAAATTAACCAGTTTGATTCAAGTCGCCAAAAAAAAATTGCTCGGGGTAAACAAATACGTAAATTATTGTGATAACTGATACACTACACAGAAACGCAAACAATTAACAATAAACGAACGGAAACATACAATTCAATGAATCTCTACAAAAATGCGTAATGCTATTGTTCGATAATTCGGCAGTTGGTCAGTGGATCCTTTATATAAAATACGTAGTAATTATAATATTAGATAGATGCGAAACAGTACATCAAATATTGCGAAAACTTTTGTAATGCGATTAATAAATAATATTATGTGATAACTGATAGTATGTGTCATGTGTGTGTGTGTGTTATAACTGATAAGGAATAATATTTAAAATACGTTTTACGCAATAAAAGTTCAATGACCCTGAAAAAATAATTGTAATAACGACAGAATATTGTGTAACTAATTACTACTCGCAGACACAATTAAAGATAAACGGATAATATTGCATCTTGCGCGTGATAGATTTCAGTGCACAACACGGCATAACTTCATAATAAAATAATAGTATCATTAATCGTGACCAACTGACATTGAACAATAATAAATRATGATATAAAATCATTAGAATCTATATCTAAATCTACAATCTTCATTTATATCTATATCTTAATCCAGGGGTGTCCAACCCGCGGCCCCTTGTAGATTTTGATGCGGCCCTCACTTCAATATAAAAACCATGAATTAATTGTATATAATAATATTATATTAATATTACGAGAACAAATTTATTTTAAGAATATAAAATTATAAAATATCAAATAAACTGTAAAGGCCGATGCACACGTTTATTATAAATAATTACATTTTTCTGTGCTCTTATAATTAAATATTAATACTTGTAAAATAATTTCTGCTTATTATTTGCCATAGTAAAATTACTTTAATTCTAGATAGCATATTMCATCATTGATTGCTTCGACGCGTTTAGGTAGAAGTTGTCGCTTATAACAAATCCAATCCCTGCTTGATGATCCAGTCCACCACTGTAAAAGTAGGTCCAATTATTTGTTTTTAGGTTTCCTTGCCCTGGCCCAGTGGCGTCGAAGTCCTAAAAATCTAGTAGGGCGAAAAATATTTCAAGAGGCCCAACATCTTAATATGGGAAAAAATGGCATGCCGCGTTGAAGAAAATGATCAATATGAAGCGGCCCTATCTTAAATTTTCAAAATATGTCGGGCCATGGCCCGACCTTAACATAGTGTTCGGCGCCACTGCGGCCTGGCCATCTAGTTTCTTGAATCGCAGCTATATTCAGTTCATATCGTTCAAGAATCGATATCATTGTCGTCAAATGTCCGGCCCTATACAACGATCTTACATTCCACTATTCCAGGTTCCCATCGAGAAGTCCTTTAGCTCCACATAATATTTCATCCGAGGCGATTTTAGTTGAGTCGTAACGATGTGTTTTTCCGTGTAGGGTTGTTAGCCCTATGACAACCTCCATTAATAGAGGGCCCTACAGGTTTGAAGTTGCTTCTGATTTTCTGAGTATAGGTATACACCTTACTGACCTGAGACGTCAGCTATGTCTATGTGGCCTTCAGGCTGCAACCTCAACTAACTAGGGTCCGCGAGTTCGTTGGCCCGTTCCTCTTTACAGAGTACCCTTGCGATAAAAGTTATGAGGTTGCTGAAATGCTGACTAAAAATGTATTAAGAGTATAAAGTTTAAAAAATGG